GTCCTCATCTGTGTGCCTGGGGAATGAAATACTGAATATGGCCCTACTGTCGTTACTGAACGTGTTCTCATTCTTGTTTCTGCCATCCCAATAATCTGATAGCCCGCCCTGGAAAACTGATCCGCTAACATGGTCATGCGTCCCCGCATACGTAGCCCTGCCCATAGCCCCTTGCTTTTCGATGAGTGAGGTCGTAGGGTAAGGACGTTGAGGAAGGCTGCGCGGAGAGGTAGAGGGGCCGAGCTATGCTTACTGGGCTTGGACATCATGTCGGTAAAATATGTGCCCACGTTTGCCACAGAGGGAGGTGAGGGGGTAGACGGCGAACATATCACAAGCTGTGCTTGTGCTTCATGATGTGCAAGAGGCGGAAACTGAGCTCTTGCGTCGCACGGCATTGTCTCCAACCATGCCCACTGCAACGATTCGACCTGCGAGATCACTTTGCTTAATATATCCTGTTCTGGTGGACAAGCTAGGCCTAAGGATGCCAATGCTGCAAGTGTATCTGCCATCTCATTGACTGGATGTCCTGTATGTGCTGAAACATGTTCATGTGAAACGTGTCTTGCATAGCCAGCACGTGTACGTATATGTGTTAGTGCCCTTAAAGTAGTGCCAATACCAAGTACGTCACTGTAAGTATGTGCTAGAAATTGAGTGGCCCTGATAGCTGATGTAGAATCCGCCCAATAGGTAATGTTATATACATCACTTTGTATGGCCCATAGTGTTAACCATGATAGTGCCACGCATTCTGTGTATAGACTAGCTTTGTCCCGGGGTAACCTCTCCAACACTTCATCTGAAATCCTATCGGACAAGTACCCGATGAGTGAAAACGATCCGTCCACATGTTCTCCAATGAGAACCATGGCCCAAGCTGGCGGTGACAAATTCGACATTTGTCCACCTGTGCCGTCCGTATACACATGAACCTGCAGTATGTTGGACGATGGAGCAGGAGAGAGGGTGTTAAGGTACTCAGAGGTCTCGGGGGTCCAGAAGGAGTCGAGGTAGGCACTGCAATGCGAAATTGTCCATTCCCATGGCTGCCGTAGCTGCTGTGCGAGGTCAGGATCGTTGACGAACCTGCAGTAGACAGAGTCCTTAGTCTGCTGGGAGGGAGAAGGAACCTTAGATGAGGGAGAGAGGGCGGGGGGAGAGGGATCTCGATCCTGACCTCGTTGTGACCGTCACTCGACAACTAGGATTGCCTCTCCAGATCTGTTGGCAGCGCCTGCAGGCAATGCTCCTGCTCGCGCGACCTCCTCCGCTGTCGGAAGGCCTGCCACTGGTGGGTGAGGGGGAAAAGGCGGAGGTGAGGAGCTGGAAGAGCAGGCTGCTGCTGAGACGGGTGGGGCGGCAGCGCCTGACGCGCCGCCTGCAGCCACCAGAGCTTGGTCTACAACGGCGATTGCCTGTTTTGTCACACTCTCCTCGATGTTGTCATCACCTGTCTCCTCTTCCATGGGCGCGATCCTGCCTTGGTCTGTCTTGAAGGCCTTCTTCGCTACAGTGCTGGCGCCAAGATGCTTGACGATGGAGGAAATGCGTTGATCCAGCATAGAATTGTGCGCCATCATGAGCCTCTGGGACTCTGCCTGCTGCGTCTGTAGCTTCACAAACTGCGACTGGAGTGTGGCCAGATCAATCAATCCTGGTGGTAATTGGGCCGCCGCGACCGCCTCCTGGTGCACCTCGACCCCTGGTGTGCCTGGCGCTCCGCCTGGCGTCCCTGGCACTACCTCGCTGGGTGTGCCTGGGAGCGGGGGAGGTGCACTCTCGGGCGGCGGCGGCTTGTGTCGTTCCATCAGTACACGTATCTGCTCGACAGCAGCTGCATGTCTGTCGGCGAGATGTTGTGCGTGTTGTAGGTCTGCTCGAGCTGCATTCAACTCTGCCTGTTTGTCATTCAAAACTTTTTGACATATCTCCGCCTGCTCTTTAGCCTTTTGCAACTCCTGTTGCTGGTTGGCCAAGCATTCTTCTGGTGGGCATGCCATCTGGATTGCCGTCAAAACTGTTGCATACCAATTCTCCTCTGCAGTTGCATCGTCGCTTTTCGTACGTTTCAATTTGATAATGGGCCCTAGCGCTGCCAGTTCGTCATGAAGCTTCTGTATGTGTCCTACCAACTTTTCTGGATCTGTCGGTGGAGGCTCCCAATGTACGTGTTGCTGCGCATCGTTTGGTAGGGCTGGGACGATCCTGAGGTCATTCTCACTGCCAGGTGTGATTGATCGAAATGGAGATACTGCCTTTTCGCCGAACGAGCCTGAGAAAGTGGGATTAGCCTGCTTGAACGGGGACGGGGCAAGGGCAGCGGAGGCCTGAGACATATCCTCTGTCTGCGATTGCTGTGGCGGTCCTGGCCCACGTAGCTGTCCTCGTTCGGCTCCGCCGATTGGGGTGCCCGGACTGCTTCCTCCTGCCCTTGTTCCCCGTCGACCGTCTCGAGGCGTATGCTGTCGTCCCGGTTTGGGCAGACCTCCAGTCATTGGCGTCTCCATGGCCATGACGGCCTCCGTTGAACTCGGCCACATTCCTGGCGGGGCCTGCGTTGCATGTGGCAATTGACTCTGCGTGGGAACTCCGCAACCGAAACGACACCGATCATGATGCAACATATTGTACGAGCCACAAATTGAACATGTCCATGTTGGATACGCTACTGTTTGTTGAACGCCATGTCCTGACAACTCTGCATGAGGAGGGGGCGGCCTTGCCATGTTGTCTGATTCACCGTGATGTCCTCTAAGAATAGTGCGTGCCCGTGCTTCCCGAAGTATTTGCCTGGCCCAGGATCGACGTCTGCGCTCGTTCCTGTGCCAGGCAGGAGATCTGGATCTGGCGGAAATGATGTGTTAGTGAATGTTATATGCCTGAAATCACCGCGGCCCTGGGCAGGGCTCGGAACGGCTGGGGGTTCGATATCGGCTGTCTTGGCGAAGGCCTTCAAACGGACGGGACCGTCTGGCTCCTTGCCGCTCGACCCCTGGCCGAGAGGGGGGAGGAGCGAGAGCGGCGCTACTGAGCCCGCGGGGCGGGAGCCAGGGCGCCCCCCCCTCTGTCGGGAAACGCTTCGCGAGGTTAGCGTTTGGGCATGTCGTGAGGCCGTCACGTCAGGGGGAGGGAGGAGGAGGGGGAGGGAGGAGGAGGAGGAGGAGGAGGAGGAGGAAGTGTAGAATGAGGAGGAAGAGGAAGTGTAGGAGGAGGAGAAAAGGAAAGGAAAGGAAAGGAAAGGAAAGGGAAAGGATAACGAAGAGGAGGAGGAGGAGGAGGAGGAGGAGGAGGACAAAGAGGCCTCTTAAGGGGCCTTCTTGGCACGTCCCGAGGGCGCCCTGAGAGCATCCTGGGGGCCTCCTGGGGGGCATCAGGTAGTCCTCTGGGATCTTGTTTGGGGCCTCTTCGGGTCTTTTGGGGCCTCGTGGGCCGTCTTGGGGCGCTCCTGGCCAGCCTGTCGCCACCGGAGACCAGTTTGAACCTCTCCAGGTGGCCCCAGAAGGCCTCTCCAGACGGCCCCAGAAGGCCTCTCCAAGCGGTCCCAGAAGGCCTCGCCAGGCGGCCCCAGAAGGCTTCTCCAGGGAGGTCCAGGGGTTTGTTCGGTAGAAGTCCGGGGGGGTGTTCGGTAGAAGTCGGGTGATTTGTTCGGTGGAAGTCCGGGGGCTTCTTCAGTAGAAGTCCAAGGGTTTTCCGGGGGGGTGTTCGGTTCCTGTTGGGGGGGGTGTTCGGTAGAAGATCGGAAGTTTGTTTGGGAGTTTGTGGGTTTACTGTTGGACGTTGCTCACCAGAGGTCTGACTCCAAACCTCCAGGGGCCACGCCGTGAAAAAGTACGTCAGGACGGGATCCGCTCCCCGGGACCAGCTGTTTTCTTTCACCTTTGGGCGCTTGTGCTCGTGACAGTCCCAGGGCCCGGTGAGGGCCCTTCGAGGCCGGAAAGTCGCACAGGGTCCCGACGTGATCTCTCGCGACGGGAGCATGTCTGCATTCACGCCGAAGCTGTTGTTGTACAAGCGTTTTCATGTTTGGACGGTCGCGCCAACCCCGACAGCCTCTCGTCGTGGAGGGATCGCGAGGGAGGGTTGTCTTGCCAATGTTCTGTCTCTCGGGGGGGGCTTCGCCAGGCCCCGGGACCGTCAAGGAGCGGCTCGGGAAGAAGAGCCGATTTTGGGGAAGGGGTCGAGATCTTTGGGGAGCCACGTCGTGAACAAACAAGACGTCGGATGTTTGGGAAGGTGGTTCAATTTGATTCAGGAGAGGAAAAAACACACAGACACCATTAACCCTCGATTCCCCAGAAAAAAAATTAAAATATGGGAAGTGGGGGGAAGACAGAAACCCAGAAAATATGGGAAAATATGGGAAATAATTTTATTTGTGTGTATTTATTTGTGTGTCCCAAGGCCCCTTCATTGATCTTTCGCACAGTCATTCGTTTTCTTCATTCGCAGCTTGGCCATCACTTTCATCTTTCAGTCCCATCCTGCTCTCGGTGCAGCGTTCTCTGGTGAGCGCGGATGTGGGCGCATGGAGATCCTGGCGGCGACGGCTTCCGAAGGCCAAGAGCCAATGTCTGAGGCGCAAGGGAGTCCCCGAGAAAAGCACTTCGAAAATCGTCGCACAGTGCCCTGGGAAAGTTGCAATTTGCTTCACTCTTCCAGTCTCACCGCTCTCGTCTCAATCTTTCCTCGACTTCTCGCTCATCCTCATCCTGACAGAACCAATTTCGATCCGATCGATCCGATTCGATATCGGCTCTGGCCGGCGCCCGATTCGAGTTGATTCCGATTTTCGGGCGATCCGATGCGGCTTGATGTTTGCATGGCGTTGTTGTGCATCTTGGCGCAGCCGATCCGATTCGATTCCGACTCCGTACCGGTGCGGTCCGATTCAATGCACATTGCGATCCGATCCCGCTTCCAGAGTCCATGTCGACTGCTTCTGTCCCGGTCCTCCTCATTACCATCGCTCTTCCCCTGCCACTGGCGGCAGCGAGGATCCGCCCGCGCAGCCTTGTGAGCCCACTGGCGGCACTGAGAACGCTGCGGCCGGGACGCCGCAGAGCACGGGGGAGCAGGACCGGTACGGTGTCGTCTCAACTTGACGCCTGTGCCGCCCTCTTCTCTCTCTCTTCTCCGCCTGCCGCTGCTGGCGCTGCTTATCCTCCCCGTGCCCAACACATCAGGAGGGGCAAAAACACACAGACACAACGAATCGTAGACTCCCAGGAAAATGTGGGAAAATATGGGAAGTGGGGGGAGGACGAAAACCCAGAAATCACGGGGGGTCCTGGGATTTGCATCTCCAGTATTTATTTGTGTGTCCCTGGGCCCCGTGAATAAGGGAGGCACGTCAAATAATGAGTCGGGTTGTGCCAGCAGGTGCCCCACGGAAGGCTGCTTGTCCTCCGGCGGCCCTGCTGGCTCCCAGAAGCCTTGGGGCACCTCGGGGAGTTCAAACCTCGACGAATAGAGGAGGAGGAGGAGGAGGAGGAGGAGGAGGAGGAGGAGGAGGAGGGGGAGAGGAGCAGGAGCAGGAGTCTCTGGAGTCTCTGCCTGATCGCGTAGCAATATGATTAAAATCCTCCTGCACCTACTGTAGGTGCTTGCTTCTCTGAGCTTGCTCAGCTCTGCCTTGGCCAGCTCGGCGTGCACGTTCCTGGACTGAGGGGAGTGGCCAGAGAAGAGTGACATCAGCGACATCAGATGGACTTGAGCAGTCCTCAAGTGGAGTTTCATGTGCACCAGTGTGCTTGCAGTATCACAAGACAACACGGTACCGTCCACCTCCGTCAACTCTTATAATCGATGGGCCTGAGAACCTTGGGCCAGAGGCCCGAATTAATACTTCGTAAATACTCGCGCCCTGTGGCCGAGGGGGGTTGACAAACTGCTGCGAGCTTCCCGATTTGCTGAGAGACGAAACTCCCGCAATGGGAGCAGAGCCAAATCCCCAGCCCAGCGTGGAACCTCGGATGATGGGTTTAATGAATCCACCCCCCAGCTGCATGAACCTGATTGTCCAGGGGGGGGGTCGGAGCAGGAGCAGGAGGAGGAGCAGGAGCAGGAGGAGGAGGGGAAGGAGGAAGGGGGGGGAGTTCTGGAGTTCTGGGTATGGCGACAGTGTCGGTTACGATGGAAGCAGCTATGTACCCTGCTGCTTCTTTCTGGCCAGTTCGGCTTTACTACGAACCTTCGGCCAGAGCCCACGGGTGATTCGATCCAGGCAATCACGACGGTTACCATTGACGGCATCGTGACATACTGCACCTAGCTGTCTCAGTTGCTCTGACGCAAAACAGCCACACGCAGTACAAAACCAGATGCCCAACCCCGAATGAAATCTGATGACGTGCGACAAGTGAGCATATCCCCCCGAGATGTGCACCCGCATGCCTGGGGGGGGTCGCCTTATAATACCGTCCACGTTAATTAAGGAAAAACAAGGTGAGCTCAGCCACTCGGTTTTACGAGCATGGGAAGCAAAACCCTGACACCTGGAACAGCTCCTGGAGTTTTCCTTGAGACAATGCTGGGTCGAAAACATGGCACACACGCTGGCCGCTGGGGGCCGAACCACAGAAGAGGCATTCTGCTGACGCCTACGCCTGCGCCTACCCCCCTCGGCGGCCTCGAGTCTTTCCTCGGCATGGAGGGCCTCAAGGGTGCTCTGGAGGATACGCATACGAACTGCGAAAGCCTGTTGCTCTGCTAAATGGATGCGTGCACGTGTCGACTCAGGCAGGCGGCCCATATCGGCCCCTGCGGCTGCGAAGCAGTCGGCAAATGTATTTCCGATCACTAAATTGCGGGGGGCGATTCCTTTTACAATGTGTTCACTCTCGAGGTGAGAGTGAACAAAAAGGACTGAGCAATACACTTCATCCCCCCGCTGCTGCAAAATCTGACCTACCGTCCACCACAAGTCGGCGTCTGGCCCTGACGGGTGCAGCCAGCGCCTCTGATGCCAACCTGATGCCACGGTGTCGTTGTCCGTAACATATGCTATCTGACCTGACGCATGACGGAGCGAGAAAACTAGACAGTAGAGCTCACCTCTGGCCACGGTCTGCCTGGTGCCTGGGAGGGGGCTCCAAAGACCTAGGGTCAAACTCATGCTGCTGACGTCCTGGAATACAGCTAATCCAAGGCCTACTCTGCGCAGCAAAGGGGAATGGGTGTCGGGACCCCCACTAGCATCCCCGAAAATAAAGACTGGCCTACCTCTAGAGCTCTGAGCCGCTACCCCGAAGTCGAGGTTGTTGGACATAACCCACTGCTCAGCCTCTGGAGGGGCCTCTACCTGCAGCCAAGACCTAGGAATCAAGCCTCGAGTCCAATAGCATTCCTCAGACTCAGCTTGCACATACGCTTTGGCTACTAAATCTTCGCTAAGCTTGTACACAGGGTGCTCCGATCTGCTGCTGCACCCCCACACTCGATGGAAACTAGTCTCTGGAACGAGGCGGCAACGCGGGCATTTCACATCGAGCGTCTGCCGACATCTTGTCTGCCTCCTCGTGCGCGGCCACGCCGCGCCCGCAGCCGCGACGAGAAGCAGCCCCGCAAGCCGCCTGCCGCCTGGCGCCAGCTCCAGCTGCTGCAGCAGGCGGCGGTAGGAGTGGTTGCACACCCCCTGCTCCATGCCCGCGCCGCCGAAGTGCCGCGCCGCTGCCTCCCACGAGCGTGCCTCGACGGTCGTGCGGAACTCGGCGAAGAAACTCTCGGGCACGTCCAGCACGGGGTGGCCAGTCATGCTAGACTCGTTGAACTGCCACTCGGAATTGCCGTCTGGCGTGGTCCACACGTTCGGCGCCTCGGGCTTCCAACCCGCGTCGAGGAGGTACGCAATCGTCGCGCCTTGAGGCCCACGTATGTGACGACAGCGAACAGCAGGGGGTAGCGCCGAGAAATCAGCAACCAAGTCCGTCCATGTTCGTGAAATACCTGCTCTCAACGCCGGTTGTGAACTCCACATGGCAAGCCACATTCTCAACGTATCGCATGGCAACTTGTACTGAGGGTCGCGGTCGGCAGCCTTCAAGTCCAGTACAGTGGTCACGCAGCGGCCTGTGAGGCGTGGCGTGACCGCGTTGGCGAGCTTCCTCCTGACCTGCTGCATCTGACCTCCCCAAACGCCGTGCAAGTGATGCCCGTACAGCCCCGCTGGTTGGGCTCCTTGAAGCTCCAGGCGTGCTGGCACACGGTAGCGGCGCAGCGCTCGAGCGAAGCCCACGATCTTCTTGGACATGGCCGCGTGCTTCTGGGATCTCGCTCGTCGCGTGGCCCGCCCGTGACGCCTGCCCCCTGCGAGGTCGGCGCCCAGGTAAGCAGCCTGGCTGGCCGCCTTCAGCTGGAAGCCACGAGCAGCGACTCGACGCACCACCGACCTCGCATCTGCCAGATGCGTGCACACAATTACAGACTTGGGTGAGACTTTCAACCCGTTAGCTGCGAGCACTTGACATGTGTCCACAATACAAGCCACTAACTGCTTCCTAACAGAACATCGAGATCCTTTTGCCGTCTGACTGAAATCGTCCACCCATAAGCGATGAGACATATTGACATGGCAGGTCGTGATGTGCTGAAGAATGTGGAAGGTGGTGCATTTCCCGAACCGTGTGCCCGACCTCAGCCCCTGCACGATGGAGCGCGTAGGGCTGAACGGGAACCCGTAAGCCCCTCCTTGCCTGACACATCTAGCCGCCATACATTGTTGAAGTTCGAGCCCTAATACCTCAGGTGGAAACTCCAGTCGAAGTGCAGCCTTGGCCATACGATACCATCCCACAGAGTCGTAGAAACTTGCAATATCGATCATCCCATTGCCGATGGAGGCCCCGAGTCGAACTGCAAGCTCTTCGTCAACTGACCGAAGAAAAACTTCACGCAGCGCAGCGTTGCCGCGCACCGCGGCATCCCAGTGCGCCTCGCACTGGTCCGTCCACGCGCGCACGTGCTCCTCGCGGGCCTGGGACCACGTGCGGGCCAAATGTGACAGAAGGCCTATCACGCGGTCCCCTGCCACCTTCTTGGGCAGTAGGGTGCCCACCGTGAGGAGCACTTGGTGAGGCCACACCTGGTGCTGCTCGCAGAGGGTGAGGATGCCCGCCAGCTCGCTGATGGCCGCGTCGGGCAGCCTGTCGTAGTCCAAGCAGCACGTCCTATCGACCCCCATGGCAGATGACGGTTTCATCCGTCGCAGGGCCGCTCGGATATCTGCTACCTCCAGCGGTGCCAACGCCTCCCCTCTTACTCGCTCACGAATCTCGTCGAACACCTCAACGAGCAGATCGAAGTCGTCTGACTCGGGACCCCATAGCAGCTGCCAGTGCTGGCTCTTGCTGTCGAGGATGTCGCGAGGGTGCACCAGCGTCGTCGGCCCCACCTCGAGCGTGTCAGAGGGAATAGGTGTCTCCTTGATTGCTCGATGTAACGCGCCAACAGCTGGTGCAGATTCTGACCATTCCCGAAATTCGTTGAGCGATCTCTGGATCGCTCTCTGCTGGGCCCGCCTAGCCAAGCGTACAGCGAACTCGACAAGCTTCGTGAAACTGTCGTCGTCGAACGTGGTGATGCTGTCGAGCTGCCGTCGCCACTGTGCCCACTTGTAAGGATCACCTCGCCGCAGGACTCGGTGTGCCTCGTCAGGACACTGCAGGCCTAAACTCTTGAGCGCTGTCACCAATATCTGAACCTGCTTGTCACCGTTTTGCCGCCGACGGTGACTCTGGAGTGAAAGTAAAATGTTGGATACTCGGGTCCACCAGCCTGCAACTCGGTCGCGAAGTGGAGTGACTCTCTGCGGCTTGGACTGGTGGACCTCGCACACACGGAATTGCGCTGCCTGCCCTCTGCTGACGAGAGGTTCAACTTGGCCGTGGTGCGCGTGGATGGCACTCTCGACCGATCTTATCCAACTGCAATATAAGGAACTGATGTGTGGAGAAGCGGCCGAAAGGGATCCGAGCCGAAAAGCTACGGACGACGCAACGGCAGGTGCAGGGAGGTTAGACGAGCTCGGGGAGAACCCGATTTTCTTCCTGGCCTGGATCCATTCGTCGTGACTGATGGC